TTGAGTTTATCTTTGTGTATGGTGTAAGAGAATGGTTGAGTTTCATTCTCCATAACTGTCCAATTTTTCCAGCACCATTTATTAAAAAGATTGTCTTTTTTCCATGGTATATTTTTTCCTGCTTTCTCAAAGATTAGTTGACCATAGAGTTGTGGGTCCATATCTGGTCTCTCTCTCTGTTCCACTGGTCTATGTGTCTGTTTTTGTGCCAGTACCATGCTGTCTTGGTGATCATAACTTTGTAGTAAAGCTTGAAATTAGACAATGTGATTCTCCCAAGTTTTTTTTTTTTTTCAACATTTCCTTAGTAATTCGGGGTCTCTTCTAGTTCCATACAAATTTTAGGATTGTTTGTTTCAGCTCTTTGAAAAATGCCGGTGAAATTTCAACCAGGATGGCATTGAAAGTATAGATTGTGCTAGGCAGTATAGACATTTTAACAATGTTTATTCTTTCAATCCAATTAGACTGGCCAAAATTAGCAAGACAGTAAACAACAACTGTTGGATAGGATGTAGAGAAAGGGGAACCCTCTTACACTGTTGGTGGGAATGCAAGTTGGTGCAGCCACTTTGGAAAACAGTGTGGAGATCCCTTAAGAAATTAAAAATAGAGCTACCCTATGACCCTGCAATTGCACTATTGGGTATTTACCCTAAAGATACAGATATAGTGAAAAGAAGGGCCATCTGTACACCAATGTTCATAGCAGCAATGGCCACAGTCACCAAATTGTGGAAAGAGCCAAGATGCCCTTCAACAGAAGAATGGATAAAGAAGACATGGCCCATATATACAATGGAATATTATGCCTCCATCAGAAAGGATGATTACCCAACTTTTGTATCAACTTGGACGGGACTGGAGGAGATTATCCTGAGTGAAATAAGTCAAGTAGAGACAGCCAATTATCATATGGTTTCACTTACTTGTGGAGCATAAGGAATAACATGGACGACATTGGGAGATGGAGAGGAGGAAGTAGTTGGGGGAAATTGGAGGGGGATAGAAAGCATGAGAGACTGTGCACTCTGAGGAACAAACTAAGGGTTTTGGAGGGGAACGGGATGAGGGGTTAGGTGAACCTGGTGGTGGGTATTAAGGAGGGCACGTATTGCATGGAGCACTGGGTGTGGTGCATAAACAATGAATCTTGGAACACTGAAAAAAATAAAATAAAAATTTAAAAAATAAATAAATTAAAAATTAAAAAAAAAAGAGTCAAGAGTAATGATATAGAAGACTATAAATGGGGGCATCTGGGTGGCTTAGTTGGTTAAGCATCTGCCTTTGGCTCAGGTCATGATTCCAGGGTCCTGGGATCAAGGACTAGGTTGGGCTCCCTGATCAGTGAGGAGTCTTTTACCCCTCTCCCTCTGTCTCTCCCCCAGCTTGTGTGCTCTCTCTCTGTCGTGCATGTGTATGCTCACTGTCTCTCTCAAATAAATGAATAAATAAAGTTAAGAAAATAAAATTATAAATGGTGTATTATTAAGTTAAATGTAGTTTATGAAAAACCATGTATAACAGAGGCATTATTTTATTTTTAAAATGTTCATATAAAATTATGTATCTCTCTATAAATATAATATATATATGTGTATGTGTGTGTGTGTATATATATATATATATATATATATATATATATATAAATAGTAACTACACACATGGGTAAATCATAGGAGAAATATACACCAAAAACTTAACTGTATTCATAGTGTTTAGTGAGATTACAACAAGTTGGTTTCTTTGTGCTTTTCTACATTTTAATTTTTTGCTCCAATTAATCTGATTTTGTTTGCAGAAGAAACAAGCTATAAAAATAATAGCTAAAAAAAGTACATTAAAAATGATTTGTTGACTAGACTATAATGCCCAGTAGGTTGACTTCATTCTAGAGGGAATCTTTTGGTGGCATTGAGGGAATTTCAATATTCTCTTTGCAAACAGGTTTGAAGATGGTAAGAAATAAATATCTTTCCTTCCAAACTGCATTTTTCAAAGAAAACTAACATGAGACAAGTAGCTGTCTTTGACATCTTTCTTCTTGTATCTTATGAGTTCTTCATGAAAATTTATTTCTTATGACATCTCTGCATCTTCTTATAAAAACTGGGTGAGAATACAGTGCTTTATTTTATTGTCATTATTCTTTCCACCAAAAATGACAGAACATATCATTTTAGTACCAAGAGTTTCTCATGAGCTGTCAAAATATCTGAAAAGTTTTTTTGAGATGTTTTATCTATCAAATGGAACAGAAAGGAATCCTAACTGAACAGCTAAATAAAAATTATGTTCGATTACTTTAACCCCCTTGTGGCAAGAGACTATATAATTGTAGAATGAGGGTTCAAACTATTAAAGCATCTGTGTGCTTCACCACCATGCTATGTTACCTACTGAATAACACTAGAAGTTAGAATCTCACAGACTGTGAGCAGAAATGCACCTCAGCAAATCTAGTGCTTTACAGAAGAGAACCTTAAAATGAAGGTCATAAAATGGTTTAGACACCTCACTTACTAATTTAGAGGCAGAATTGAGACTCCAGCTTTCGAAACATTATTACATTTCTGTTAACATTTTCTTTGCCAGGACAATGAATTATAGAATAAACCTAATATGATTTGAAAGTAAAATTAATTCTTTCACCTTATTATGGAAACCTCATAGAAGTAGGGAAATTTTCAAATAGATAAGAATTAGAGAGTTATAGACTTTTAAAGAGAGTCTATACTTTCCCCTTCAGTGTGGCTCTTTTTTACATAGTTCTTGTCAGGAAATCTGCAGAAAAGAATTCACCGTGTTTGCCAAGACCCACACCTTACTGTTGTATTCTTAGAAGAGTGTGAATAAGGATAATCTGGTACTTGCAGTGACTTGACAGCAATGTGCTTATTTGATGATAACTACCAGTGTGACCAGACTCTCTGCTGGTGTTTCTTGGTGTCTAAAATCAATCCCAAATTTTGTCTTTTTCAACTGGAGATGAAGAACTCTGTTCCTCAATATAGCCTCCTTTTTAAAGAGAGAAACTCCAGGTGCCTTTTTATAGAAAATATCCCAATTCTTCTCTATATTTTTACTGTTCAAAGATTATTTTTTCAGAACTGAATTTTTCACAAATACTGTTATTCTTTCTTTTGAATTACCAAATGGGAGGTTTGAGATATTTTAGGCTAGCACATACAGGGAATCTTCAGCTATGTGGAATTGGTGTAGAAGTAAATGTATGTGTTGGAATGACACCCACTTGGATGATCTTGTCATCAAAGCCCGGAAGCTGTGAATCCAAGAGTGGTAAATAGTCCCTTGAATGGTTATATATTTAGATCAGCTGTTTGTAAATGGGTAGACCCTGCTTTAGATACTAAGGGAGACATAAAACATTTTATGTTCAGATGAGGACTGAGTTTTTTTCTCTTGGGTCTCCACAGGACCCAGCCTTCTCCCTTGCTTCCCAGGCTCATAAACCTCATGGATCCATTTGTAGTTAGGGGCTGTTATCTGCCTTGACGGTCTTTATGTTAGTCACTGCCTATTACTGTGGTTCATCTTTTCTCATTTGATTTACCTTTTAAACAGACTTTATAATTTTTACTATTTACATTAAATCCACATTTTCAAAACACTGGTTATTTTTTCAACTGTGGTTCCATTTGTAATGTTTCATTCACCCTGACTTTGATAGTCCCACTTGCAATCTCAAGAAGAGCAGGAAAAAAAATCCTATTAATCATTTTAGAATTATGAGCCTCTAAAAAAATTATGAGCCTGTAAAATGTTAAAAACATTTTTGGTTAACTACATGATAATTGTATACATGTGCATGTTTAATGGGGGCTCTCAGATCCATTCCAAATGTGCAAATAAGCTGGCTAGTGTTTTTGTTTCTTCTCTAGTCTTGAAAGAGTGGTTATTTTAGTTTCTCAAGTATGACACCAGAATTAGAAGATCTACGTGTGATGGAGCTAAGAATGATAATGCAGAAGGCACTAAATAAATATTTGTTAACTGAATGAATGATTATGTTCACATATGACAATTTATTGGGAAAATTAAAGATTCTATTAGAAATTTGGAGTAACTTTGAAGAATGTAAAGTCAAAAGGGTCTTTTAGGAACCTGAGGAGAATTTGTTGAATATAGACTCAAATGACATAATGGTAATAGACAGAAAATAGCTGAAATGGGATTTTAAGTTACTCTCTCATTATTCTATACAGTAATGTCTTAGAGAGAGAGAGAATGATATATTTCAATACCAAATATATAGTCCAGTTTTTATTCAATAGAAAAGATATGAAAGAATGCCTGAGAAAAGGTGAAAATACATTTGAACCTGAACCAGTGTCTCTTCAAGTATTTTACACACACACACACACACACACACACACACAGATACACATAAATTAGTATATACACACATTTAAAAGTCTTTTTAATGAATTTTACTTCCTGAAACTACTTATATTTAACATCATTAGTGTGTTCTAAAAAAGAGTAACTCTAAACTTTAATATTTGTTGAGTAAGGGCCATCAGAAATAGAGGGATATGATATTGACATATAATACAAGTTTTCCTGATCCTTGATTAAGTTTTTCCTTTACCTGGATGGGACTGGAGGAGATTATGCTGAGTGAAATACGTCAAGAAGAGAGAGTCAATTATCATATGGTTTCACTTACTTGTGGAGCATAAGGAATAGCATGGAGGAAATTAGGAGAAGGAATGGAAAAGTAAATTGGGGGAAATTGGAGAGGGAGATAAACCATGAGAGACTGTGGACTCTGAGAAACAAACTAAGGGTTTTGGAGGGGAGAGGTGGGAGGTTGGGTGAGCCTGGTTGTGGGTATTAAGGAGGGCACATATTGCATGGAGCACTGGCTGTGATTCATAAACAATGAATTATGGAATACTGAAAAAATAAAAGAAAATAATTAAAAAAATTTTCCTTTACATATTCTCTCCTGGTAGTGATCAGCCCCTGTGCATATGATGGAGACAAACAAGACGTGGGTGACCGGGTTCATTCTCACAGGACTCACAGATCTTCCAGGGCTGCAGGCCCCCCTGTTCCTGGTGTTCTTGGTCATCTACCTCACCACCATGGTGGGCAACCTCGGACTGATTCTTCTCATCTGGAAGCATCCCCATCTTCACACCCCCATGTACTTACTCCTTGGCAGTTTGGCCTTTGCAGATGCTTGTTCCTCATCCTCTGTGACTCCCAGGATGCTTGTCAACATCTTAGACAAAAGTCAAATGATATCCCTCTTTGAGTGCATGGCCCAATATTATTTTTTTGGTTCCAGTGCCACCACGGAATGTTTCCTTCTGGTAGTGATGGCCTATGACCGCTATGTAGCCATATGCAACCCCTTACTTTATCCAGTGGTGGTGTCCAACAGGTTCTGTACTTGGTTGATAAGTTTGTCTTATGTAATTGGTTTTCTGCATCCCACAATTCATGTAGGGTTATTATTTAGGTTAACCTTTTGCAGGTCCAATATAATACCTCATTTCTACTGTGAAATTTTGCTGCTATATATAATTTCTTGCACTGACCCATCTATTAATGCACTGGTGGTTTTCATTTTTGCTGCTTTTATACAAGCTTTTACTTTTATGACCATCATAGTGTCTTATACCTGTGTCCTCTTTGCCATCCTGAAAAAGATGTCCAAAAAGGGCAGGAGTAAAGCCTTCTCCACTTGCAGCGCCCACCTGCTCTCTGTTTCCTTGTTCTATGGCACTCTCTTCTTCATGTATGTGCGTCCTGGGTCTGGCCCGGATCAATATCAGGATAAAATGTATTCACTGTTCTACACGATTATCATCCCTCTGCTCAACCCCTTTATTTATAGCCTAAGAAACAAGGAAGTTTTAGGGGCACTGAGAAAAATTATAAAGAAATAAATATTTCTCAGGAAAACTTTCACTATTCCTTAGATTTTATTCTGTTTAAATAAAGCATGGGTCCTTGGGTTTAGCACATAGTAGGGCCTTAATATACTTGTTAAATGAATGAATAAAAAATTCAGAGTAGATAGACTTGTTTTTATCCTAAGTTCTTGTGATCATCAAAATAATTAATGAGCACTGTAAAGACAGGTTCCATTTACTTTGTGCTCTTGTTGTTTATAATCCATCCTCAAGGATAAAAATGAAACAGAATATCCAAATTATTGTATCTTTGTAACTTTAATGAGCTTTGTGTTTACAGATACACACATTTTAAAACTTTTTGAACTTATATTCTTTTTTTTTTTAAATTTGAGAGGGAGAAAGAAGATGAGTGGGGAGACAGGCAGAGCAAGAGGAGAGAAGACTCTTTGCTGAGCATGGGCTCCAAAGCAGGGCTTAATACCATGATGCTGGGATCATGAACTGAGCAAAGATCAAGAGTTGGACACCCAGCCAACTGAGCCACCCAGGGGGCCCTGAACTTATATTCTTTTATAGGAAGAATTAACTTGTGTAAATCCTCTGTTTAGAAACTACTCATGCCCTCCTAGATAATTCTTGAACAATTAATTTTCAAGAGTTTGTAGATATAAATATCTTTGATAGATGTTTATAATGATGCAAACAATATATATGCCAAAGTAATACTGTTAGACTAAATATGACAACATATATTCCTCATTTAATATGAATATATCTAGGAGGTTTATAAGTAATTTTGAAAATTAACTTATATTTGCATTGTATTCACTGAAAGATACAACACTTTAGCAATTAAATACTTAAAATAATTACTTCCTGCAATATAATGAATAATTCTGAGCTCTTTAAAAATTTCTACTTTTTAATTTATTGAAAAATCTCACTAGGCACCTTCTTTCCAGCACAAATATACCAGTTGAATACATTCCCCCCCTCCTCTCCCGCCCCCAGAATTGACAACAACCTGAAATAGCAGGTGTACTTGATCATCTCATAATTATGTAACTTAAACCATTTTTTTTTCCTTACAAAAGTCTTCTGTGTTTTCTGTCTGGCTTTCTGACTTTATTACATATAGACTTGTGAATACTGTAGTGAAAAATAGGAAAAGATATCCCCATATTCATGACACATCCCTATTATTTTGATTTGAGGATAGACACAATTTGTTGTCTCATGGAACAGCAAAGCCGGCGGTGGGGCTGACTGGCTTCAGCACTGTGTGTTTGGGGCTCAGTTTCCTCAGACTCTGCTCTTCTCACTGCATCCGAGCCCCGCTTCTGCTGTGTGGGCTCATTCGAACCATGTTGCTCTCTGTGAGTGCCAAGTCTCTGTTAACTTTCTGTCATCACCACTTTACACTCCAGAACAGTGGCAAAACTTTCTCTTTTTCTCCCTTTATGTGCGATGCAGACTGTTTTAGGTATTGGCTATGTATAATTGTTATCTGTCTATAGTCAATATATGTCAATGTCTTCTTTATTTTTTAAAACAACACTGTTACTAAGGTGGGGTGTAATCCAGTAGCAAATTGTTACATTCTCCATGTTTTTGTCAGCACAGGTGATATATAGGTGAAATTCCATCTTCACAGTTACCCTGGAGAAACAACCACAGAAGTTCCTTAGTCCTTGGGGATAAATTTCTTGCAAATATTAAACCATGCAATTTAAATATCCCATTTTAGGGACACCTGGGTGGCTCAGTCGGTTAAGCAACTGCCTTCAGCTCAGGTCATGATCTAAGGGTCCTGGGATTGAGTCCCACAGCAGGCTCCCTGCTGGGCAGGGAGCCTGCTTCTCCCTCTCCCTTTGCTGTTCCCCCTTTTGTGCTTGTTCTCTCTGACAAATAAATAGAGTCTTTAAAATAAATAAATAAATATCCCATTTTATGTTTCTTTTCATGGTATTTAAAGTTGGAAAAAGCTAGTTCTTGGCTGTTTAGGGATTCTTTAAATGGAGACTATCTAAATTTATTTATTTCCTTCTTTTCACTAGGGATATACCAGGTTTGGTGATATCACCTCTTCTTGTTTTCTTCCATGATTAGAGGGTCTTATACTTTCTACCCTATTACAAGGAGGACATGTCCTAAAAGGGGACAAGTTTACCTCTTCTGGCCCTGGGAGGTTATAAGGAAGACAGAGGATGGCAACAGTAGAGGAGGAATGAGATATGTTGTTTTTAATTTCCCCCTCTGGAGAGGACTGGTATTTGGAAGGCAGGGAGGCAAATTAATAGTATGAGGTATTGTATTCTCTATTGCTGTTAACAAATAACCATGAATAGTGGCTTTAAAAATATATACACGTATTATATTAGTTCTGTTGTGCAGAAGTCTGACATAAATTTCACTAGACTAAAATCAAAGTAGGGTGAATTCCTTTCTGAAAGGTTTGGGTAAGACTTTGTTTCTTCCCCTTTTCTGACTTTGAGAAGTTGTCTACATCATTTGGCTCATGGGCCCCTTCTTGCAGCTTCAAAGCCAGCAAGGTTGCATCTCTTGGTACCTGCCTTTTGTTGTCACAGTTTCCTTAGACCCTGATTCTTCCCCCTCCCTCTTCCACTTTAAGGACCTTTGTGATTACATTAGACCTTTCCAGATAATTCAGGAAAATCTCTTTATTTCAAGGTCAGCTGATGAGCAACTGTCATTCTGTCTACAGCCTTCATTCTTCCTTTTTTTTTTTTTTAAGATTTTATTTATTTATTTATTTGACAGATAGAGAAAGAGAGATCACAAGTAGTCAGAGAGGCAGGCAGAGAGAGAGGGGGAAGCAGGCTCCCTGCTGAGCAGAGAGCCTGATGCGGAGGCTGATTCCAAGACCCTGAGATCATGACCTAAGCCAAAGGCAGAGGCGTAACCCACTGAGCCACCCAGGCACCCCCATTCTTCCTTTTCATGCAACCTAATGTATTTTCAGGTTCATGTCATTGATGGCAGTTATTTTGCCCATCATAAGTAGCCTTAGAAGAGAAGAGAAGAACTTTTGCCCAGATTCCCATTTCAGTCACTGGAAAAAAAACTATTTCTCACTGTGCTCCTTCCATATTTGGCTACATCACAATGAACTTTTTCCTGCAGAGTTTGCAGGCAGGACAGCCTTGATGTTTAGTTCTGGAGGATGCTTCCCATTACTGCATTGCATGGCCAACACCTGGAAATTCCTGTAGTGTTTGAGAGTGGCTGAGAGACTTACTCCTCAAAAGTGACTGTAGAGGATGGGTTGGGGCATGTAGAGAGAGAGTATAAAAGAGGGGCTAAGGGGTTACCAGACCAAAGAAAGCTGGAAGAGGTAGAAAGCCTTTCAGGATAGACAAGCCCTATTCCATTTAAGAGACCAGATCACAAGTTCCAACAGACTTCGGCGCAAAAGCTGAAAACACGAACAGTCCATAAGAGTGTGAGGTTATTAGTAGGACAAACCATTTTAGGAACTGTCTTTCTATTTCCAACATTTCACATGCTATGCCCATATTTTCATATACCATCTCAGAGGCAAAGATGGAAAGATTTAAATTAATTTCTTTTCTGCCATGTAGAATGCAGTGGATATTGCTGTACCTATTCCATGCATTGCTCAACAAATCATTGACTAGAATCGTAGATCTAGGTCATCTCCAGGCTGAAGACATCACATGACAGAAAGAATGGGAGGTAGCAAGACGAGGGACAAGGAATTAAATCCCCTTCTTGGACTCTGAATTTTCGAGACTCACTTTTTCCTGAGAACAGACCAATTCCAACAGTGATAACTCAGTTCAGAGAGATAGCCTGGGATATATTTGTGAAGACCAGATGTGGGAGGACATGACCAGAGTCTCTAGTCAAGTGTGAAAAAGAACCTGAAGGTTGTCAGGCATCAGCCAAAGCCAGTGTGGGAAATCCTGTGAAATTAGCAAGTGAGGTCATTAATCTTCCAACAATCAGCTCATCCAGTACCTGTTTTCACTCAAGCCAGACAGGTAAGGCAGAGATGGGGCTACAAATTGGGAGTAGGAATGAGCATGTAGGAGAAGAGAACCCACAGAGAAATTGGGGTTGGGGTGACATTCTACACTTTCTGACATCTGATCAGAGACAACTGCCAAATCTCCAGATATTTCAGACCCACCCTATATCTATGCCTACACAAGGGTAGCCTTGCTGGCCACATAGTGAGATCCCTGGAATAGAGACAGGCTAAACACTGGGGTTGGGAACAGCTTCTGAACATCCAATATCCAGTTTAACTCAGCAAAATGTTGTTAATCTGTAACATAGTCAGAAAATCAGATTAAGGACAGAGGTCTTCTTGCGGTGGATAGATCCCTCAAAAAAAGTAAGTCTTTTTAGTGGCGTAAAGTTTACTAAGAAGAGAATGTAATGGGTTAAGAGGACAGAAGGAATATTTATTTGGGGGACATTTTGTAGAGCACAGGGTGGTTCATTTATATTGACAATATTATGTTGATAAAGACTGGATATTGTGCAAAGTTCATGTTCTCCAGAGGATGACAGATAAATCCTACAAAAATTGCATATTGTCAATGTGTAATTATAACATGTGCCAAAATACTAAAAAAATTCTTGGTTTCCAGACACAGAACAGCTACACCTGGATTTGATGGAGAGACCAGAGTATCAACTGGAGATCCTAGCTTTTTCTTGGATTACAGGCTAGATGGGAATTGGATTTGACTCCCTTGGGAAGATGTTGAAAGTATTGTCTACAGGGGAAGGAGGGTAAAACAGGTAAATGAGAATCAGAAACTATAGTCAAATCAGGAGAAGAAACTGTTAGGTGACCTCCAAATCCATTTTCTTTTCATCCTAGACACACAGACCCCCTTTTCAGTTGACTATAGTGATATGATTGAGTTTAGGATTGAAAGTGATGTATATCACTTACATTTCTGGGTCATAAGAACCTCACATTTGGAATCCCCTTGAACTTTCCCATTTTAGCTTGATTCAAATGAAAACGCAAA